TTATATAAAAAATCCATAAATTTTTTTAAAGAGTATCTCTTAACAGATTTGTTAGTGTTTTTAAAGAATTTTGCATTATCAAATAAAATATTTGTTTTTGTGGCGTAAGAATTTTCTTAAAATCCTATTAAGTAACCAACTAGGATTTTTAGTACTCCTCAATTCTCTAGCATTTTATTAGTGCATCTTCTGTCTTATTTGGATTCTTTTTTCATAGTTCCTCATAGCTTCGGTTACAGATGATTACTTGAGGTCATGTCATTCTTTTAGATCCCATGGGGCGTATAGGGGGAGGGCTCGACAGAGTGGTGACAAGGAGACTAGATTAAGAGTTTGCTCGCTGAATGTAGGCACATTAAATGCTAGGCTGCTGGAGCTAACCGGCGTACTTAATAATAGAAAAATAGATTTTGCATGTATTCAGGAGACTAGGTGGAAAGGGTCTCGCGCAAGAGAGTGTAATGGGTACAAGTTGTGGTATTCAGGCGTAGATAACGCTAGAAATGGGGTGGGTATCTTGGCATCCTCTAGGCACAAGGAAAATGTAGTTGAAGTTTGCAGATACCGGGATAGGATCATGATGATTAAGGTTATTATAGAAGAGGAAGTAGTGAATGTCCTTTCAGTGTACGCCCCACACGTTGGCCTAGGGGAGGGGGAGAAACGTTGCTTCTGGGATCAGTTAGATGATATACTTAGGAGCATTCCGGAGGACCAAAGAGTTTTCATAGGGGGAGACTTCAATGGCCATATAGGAAGTGCAACCGACGGGTATGACGGTGTTCATGGGGGTTTCGGTTATGGTAGCAGGAACGATGGGGGGCGTACGTTGCTTGATTTTGCTACTGCTCACGATTGGTGATCACTAACTCCTTCTTTAATAAGAGAGATGCGAACTTGATTACGTTTCATAGCGGGGACATTGTACCCAAATCGACTACATCTTAATTAGAAATCAGGAACGATGGGCTTGCATTGACTGTAAGGTGTTCCCTGAAGAGGCATGTGCATCACAACAAATTGTTGGTTTTGGTGTATCGCGTACCCCACGGGCGGAGCACTCATAGGAGGGCTAAACTTGGTAAACCTAGGATCCTCTGGAAGAACTTACATGGAGCGACAACTGATGACTTTAGGAGTAAGGTTTTGTCTAATACAAGTTTTGAAACTACAAACTCAAAAAATGCAGATATGTTATGGAAAAATATGGCAAATTCCATCAGAGATGTTGGCAAAAATACCCTTGGGTTGTCGACGGGGAAGGCCAAGGAACATAAAGAATCGTGGTGGTGGAACGACGAAGTCCAAACTAAGGTGAAGACAAAACAAACTTGCTTCAAGGAGTTTCTACAATGCAATGACGACGAAGAAAGGTCGAGAGCTAAACAAAGATACCAGGAGGCAAAGCGGGAAGCCAAGAAAACGGTAGCTAAAGCAAAGGATAAGGCATACGAGGAAATGTACAAGAGATTAGACACCAAGGAAGGACAAAATGGCATCTTCAGACTTGCAAAATCTAGGGAGATTAGGAAAAAGGATCTAGGTAACATTAGGTTTATTAAGGACAACAATGGTGTTCTTTTAGCGAAAGATCACGATATTAAGAGGGTTTGGGGTAGTTACTTCTTTAGCTTATTTAATGACGGTGCCTCTCCATGTAGAGATAGTATCGTTGATGGGTTAGCCGACTATCATACTACGGCCAATGACTGCCCTACAAGTAGGATTGGGTTTGAGGAAGTCAAAATGGCTCTTAGAAAGATGGGAAGGGACAAAGCTGTCGGTCCTGATCAAATTCCTATCACTGTGTGGTTGGCCCTAGGAGAAGAGGGAGTTAAGTGGTTGACCAACATCTTTAATATTATTCTAGAGACTGCCAAGATGCCAGAGGAGTGGAGAGAGTCTACGGTGATACCAATCTATAAAAATAAAGGAGATCCCAACGTTGTGGTAACTACAGAGGTATTAAACTCCTCAGCCATACCATGAAGCTATGGGAAAGGGTGATAGAGGCTAGGTTGAGACAAGTTACTAGGGTTTCGGAAAACCAATTTGGCTTTATGCCAGGCAGGTCTACCACGGAGGCGATTCATCTACTTCGACGGCTTATGGAGAAATATAGGGAAAAGTCTAGAGATCTTCACATGGCGTTCATTGACCTTGAGAAGGCTTATGATAGTGTTCCCCGCGATACGATCTGGAAGACTTTGGAAACGAGACGGATCCCAACTGCTTATATCCGGGCGATTCGTGATATGTACTGTAGATCTACTACTTACGTCAGGACTACAGTTGGCGACACCGAGGCATTCCCGGTGGAAATCGGACTCCACCAGGGGTCGGCTCTTAGCCCTTACATCTTCGCCTTGATCATGGACGACATCTATTGTGCGACACCAGACGGTGTACCATGGTGTATGCTTTTCGCTGACGACATTGTCTTAGTTGCTGAAACAAAATCTGAGTTGAATAGTAGACTGGCTACCTGGAAGACTGCTTTGGAAGAAAAAGGTTTAAGGATCAATATTGAAAAGACAGAGTATTTATGTTCAAACTTCAATGGGAACCAAAACGATGAAGATGTAGAAGTATGCATAGAAGGACACGTTCTCCCTCAAAGGATTGTTTCAAGTACCTAGGGTCTATGATACATAAAGATGGGGGTGTAGATGATGACGTTACACACCGTATAAAGGCGGGATGGCTAAAGTGGAGGGCCGCTACTGGAGTTCTGTGTGACAAGAAGGTCCCTCTAAAACTTAAGGGAAAATTTTATAGAATGGCAATAAGACCAGCGCTGTTGTATGGATCAGAATGTTGGGCAACCAAGAAGGATCACGTAAGGAGGATTGAGGCCGCAGAAATGAGAATGCTTCGATGGACATGTGGTAAGACTCTGAGGGATATGACGACAAACTCTGCTATTAGGATGTCCTTGGGGGTGGTGTCTGTTTCCGAAAAATTGAGGGAGGGAAGACTACGGTGGTTTGGGCATGTCCTTAGGCGACTACCGTCGGATGCGGTAAGGAGGGTAGAGTCGATTACAGTCGACGGTGCCAGAAGGAAAGGACGACCAAGGCGAAAGTGGGAAGACTGCTTGAGATCTGATTTGAGGGATTTAGCCCTTACCGAAGACATGACCTCTGATAGGAAAATATGGAGGCTAAAGACTAGGGTAGTCGAGTAGTGTGGGTCACATCTATAGGGTGTATCATCTCTGTCTTCTTTTAATGTCTTTGTAGTATTTTCCATGACTTATACTTTTTATACGTTTCTGTTATTGGTATTTATGAAGGATTAGAACTGGGCTTGCTAACGTTGACTTCTGTGTATCATTCTCTTCATGTTTCCTCTTTTAAATTTAGCCGGATCTTATCTTATGTTTATGTCTATATGCAGAGATTCTTTCGCAGGGATAATTATGCAGGGATTAATTCCCGTTACAGACGCACATATGATTTTAATGACTGCATATGAATACTGTTTAGCTATGTATTTATGTATTTATTTATACATGCATTGCATTTTATCTAAATTTTTAATTTTCTGACTGCCGGAGGTCTTCCACGGAAGTTACTCTCAACCTGGCGTTGGGGGTAGCCTACTACCCTACCTCCCCCTTACCCCATACATATGGGAATTGGGTTTTGTTGTTGTTGTTGTTGTTGTCTTAACAGATTTGTTAGAAAACAACTTCAAACTATTTACGTAGGACTCTCGGGCAGACATGCACAAAGTCGGATTTAAATCTGATCCGGATCGGATAAAAATTGATCTAGTTTTTTTACCTAGCCAAAAAACCGGTTTATAAAAAACCGGTTCGAATCCTAACTGATTTAGAGGGTCGGATGGTGTAATCGGTTTCTGTTTGAAAAAACCCGATTTTTTTTAAAAACCGATTTTAATATTATTAAAATTGCATCGTCATCAATTGCAACAAAGTTTACGATAATTGAAATACTTAAATACTTTCAAATTCGATAAATTCAAATACTTAAAAATTCCAAGTTCGATAAATTTAAATACTTAAAAACTTCCGAGTTTTTTAAACCCATATCGGTTTTTTTCGGATAAAAAAACGATTTTTTAACCGATTTTTTTCAAATCAGTTTTTAATCTGGTAAAAAAACCGATCGTCCAATTTTTTTCCAAACCGGTTATATTATCCGGTTTTAAAATATCCGATCCGGTTTAAAAAACCGATTTTTCCCAAATCCAGTTTCGGATACTTTTTACACAAAATCGGATATTCGAATTTTTTGTACACCTCTACTCTCAGGTCCTATAAAACACATTTAATTGTCCTCGCGTTTGTTTTATAAGTCGGAAGACTTATCAACTTTTTCAAATAAAATCATTTAATTTTAGTTAGAAACAATAACAAATGCATAAAACTCATTTTTTGTAAAACACAATATCTAATCTCATTTTTCGTAAAACAGAAAATCTGATCATACTTTTTAGATCATCCTACGCGAACACTTTGAAGAGTATTTTTCTAACAAATCTATTAGGGGTATTTTTCAAGAAAAATAATTATGGGGTTTTTTAATATAATATCGCCTAATAATTTAGTGGACATCCTTTTCATATTAAATGATTTTTTGTATTTATATGATGAATTATTTCCGTTTTCTTCCTCATGGTCTCCACAAAAATAAAATCACCTACCCTACCATACATAACATGTAATTTTTAAATATCTACAGGTAATTTTAATTATTATAATGTCTTTATTTTTTTCCAATTATCTCTCTATTTTACAAAATAAAAAAAAAATATGTAGGGATGGGCTTTTACCCTAAAATTCCGAGCAGATCCAGGATGGGTGGAAGGTTTTAAGTTTAGGGTCGAGGTCAGTACGGCCGAATAACCAACACGTCCAGTCCAGCCCCGCCCGTACCCATCCCTAATTTTGTCCGAATCGGAAACATAACATTCGCGAAGTAATTTCTGGAAAAAGAGCTCGAAGGGCAAGGCTATTGAAAGAAACGTGCAACTGCCGAGAACCGACTCCGATAACACTTTCGATACATTGATATCTACTAGCCAACACAATCCAAGATATTCTCCAAACATCTACAAACAATGAATCAGAAGAAACTAGTACTTTTTGCTCTACGTGCAAATGATTATGAACCAAACTACGAGTAATCAATCGGGCTTCAAATTCGATAAGATCTGCTACTTTCTGTACAACATACCTGGTTCGAGATCAGGAGTTAACAAAAAGACCAGCCTTCTATAGCCGCAGCTTATGCGTGTTTGGTCTTGTAAGTGCTTTCGCAAAGTAATCACGGATCTCGGGAACTATCCGCTGGACTAGATGCAAGTGCCTGCAACACAACGCGAAGCTCGACTTAAGTACATACAGTTAAGTTCCTAAAGAAGAGCACGGTCATGGAAAATCTTAAGTACATACCCAGGTCTTGCACTCAATTCATCGAAATGTTCCAAGATAAATATGATGCAAGTGTGCCTCAACGATATGGCATGAAAAGCTTCAGACAGCTCATACATGCTCGAAACATTTTCAAGCAATATATCCTTCAATGAAAACATAGCGATGATCAGATGCCAATCCCAGATTTTAAGGGCAACGAAAGGATTCAGAATATCTACAGATAACCTCTTCGGCTCACCTGTGCAATGGTATATTCGCAAAGTCGCTTAAGTCCCTCCAAAAGATATTGATCAGCTGCTCTGAGCAGATCTTGTGCGATATCCAATGTAACATCTACTGATCCAGTATATATGAATCTGTACAATGATGTAAAAAGAATTATGCTAAAAAAGAATACATTGATGTAAATCCGATGTATATACATTGGGATCAAATAATTGCAATACCTCATCATCAACTCAAAAACCTCCCACTTAATGTTCGGAATTTCAATATCCCTTGCATCTTTTTCCTGCAATACAGGCCAAGAGGGATTTTTAAAAGAATCTCGTGTAGCTTGACATCATCATCTCTGTCCTCTAGCAAGAACTATAGGTCTAAGTGTAAAGCTAAAGTGATAATGAGTACTTGAAATCCTGTATTTTGAAAAAGAATGATATAAGGCTACCAGGAATAAATGAAAAGGCCCAAGTCCCAAAAAATGAGTTTTAGAGTTCTTCCAGAATCATCAGAAATTGAGCAATACAATGTGGACTCTCCCATTTGTTAGAAAGTACATGAATAAAAATTCCAGCCCCAAAACCAAGGATGAAGATAGCCCTGGGCCCCCTCTTGAGAATAGAAGGGACGGACAACTGGAAAATTAAAAGGATGCAAAAGGGAAATCACCCGATAACCACCATCAAACATAGCACGAAATGCATCTGAAGAAGCAAGAAGGCAGATTCTGTGAGCATAGAATCGTCTACCTGCAAGAGGAGAGAAATAAAGGATCTTACTTGCAACAAAAGCTATATTTTGACATGTAACCAATTATTTTGACATAGCAAGCATCAGAGCCTTAGGTAAGCAAATCGTATAACCTTCAACTAGGAAGGTGACATCAGATAAGGTGGCGTTGTTCACGTATTGCTCCCCCAAATAGACCTGCATTTAAGTTGTATATTATAACAGGAACTTAAATTGAACATCCATAGTATGAACTATTCTCCTCCTCATAACCAATTATGAGAAATTGAGAATGTCGTGGATCTACCCTTGCAATTTGAAACAATTAGTCTTGCAATAACTATGGAACAGTATATGGCCAGGCATAACACCGGTTTCTCGGAATGATATTAATTCAGGCAATGGAAATGAATGACGCTCTAACCAATTTACAAACTCCTTGTGGTGTTGGAGATGGGGAGCTGCATCCATAGGAGAAAGTGTCATAGCTTTGTTGGATAACTTGTACAGAGCTACAGCACCATCAAGTTGCTGTTTAGCACTTGTAGAACCAAGAAGACCAAGAAGCAGTTCAAGTCCTGCATGAAAACAGAGAACAATCAGCCCCTCAAAGCAACAAAACATTTGCGATCCATTTATGCAGTATGCTGCTTTAAATTGCACAAAACACAGAATATGACTGATTTTGAGTAACTGGGGAAACGGTAAAGAAAATGACCATTATAATCAATGAATATAGTTCTATGGTCATCAGGGGAACAAAGATGAGCTAGAGCTAAAGCCACTCGTCTTTGGACTGGCTTCTCTGCAACACGCATGAGATACAGCAAATGGTTCAAAACCTACAAAGATAAATAAATCAAATGAGACCTAAAACATAAAGAGCATTGGACAGCCAGACATTTCATCAGTCCAAATTCATAAAGATATAAAAGGCAAAGGGTAGTTATAGGAATGAAAATGCTTACTCGCCCATGAATCTTCTCCTCTAATCTTTTCAGTGTCTTGGCTACACAATCTTTTGTTGCCTGAAAGTACCATAAACCAATCATATTAAACAAGGAAAACTAAAGACAAAGCAATGAGCTAGTGAAGTTTTGATTTCTTATGGATATCATGCAGCAACTAAGAAACTAGTAGCATGGAAACTAAAAGAGTAAAAAGGCAACATCTAACAGGATTGACGTACTTGAACTATAAATTCTCCATCTTGCAGCCGTTGGACTCCCCCCACCCTAATAAAACCGGATACATTATCCTACAAGAGAAGAATATATTAACGTGTACCACGACACCAAAAAATAAATCCAGGCACTTTTTAAAGGTTGTCAACTACCACACTCTACCATACCTCATTATCTGCAAGACCATAAAGAGCAAAGGCAGCATTGTGTTGCAAAGATCCATTCTTTGAATCTAGAAGCTTCAACAAAGGAACCAAACCACCACTATGCACAATACCAGCTTGATTGTGTGGGTCCTGCAAACAAAATTATATTTTATTGACAAAGAGTTATCTACTAATTCCAGTTTATGAAGAAAGGAAATTTAGCAGACTATTAAGTTTCACAGATGCAACTATAAAGACCTCTTCAAGTAAGCAGAAACCTCGGAAACAAGAAAAAAAACAAAGACAATAGAACAAGCCCTTTCTGTTCAATGCTGAGGAACAAAGTTTTATTAAGATATCAAGCCAAAAAAATGATATGCAAACATGCATGAGCCATGATGAAAATTGTGAGAGGCAGGATATTTTGAAGAGTGGAAGGGATGCATCTGACAAAACCATCATAATTACATGACTTGCAACAATTGTGAAACCAAAATAACAAGCAGGTATATTGACAGGTAATGGAAGAAATTTAGTCTTAGAAACTAGCAGGAATTCATAAACAACATTAACTTCAAATTTTATTTAAAAAGAAAATATTTTAAGTAGACAAAATTAATCACATTATTATCACAGAAAAAAGGATAAGCATTAGATTGAAGGCCAAGGCCAATAAGCATCTTTCACAGCAGTAATAACAACTTGAAATTGTTCAAGGGAAATAGCAATAATAACCTGTGCCAACCTCCCCAAAGCGAAGGCTGACATCTCTTTCAGCTGTACATCAGGAGAGTGAAGCATTTCAATCAAGGGTCGAACAGCACCCCTTTGTACAATATGAACCTGCAAAATCCAAAGTAGCATGTGTCAAAAAGGAGAAACGAGGATAAATTAAGGAGAAGGGAATGAAAATTATAAGCATAGAGACCAATGCTCAAGGAAAAAGGGCAGCACGTGAAAAGCTAAATTCATACAAATACTAGGGCAGTAATTCCAGAGTCAATAACTGTATTTCATCATAAATTGACAAATAGATCCAAGAAGAAGCATCTTAAGACTAGTTAAGTATGAAGAGAATGGACAGTCTTCACCTTGCAATCAGAATCAGTTGCGGCAAATTGTCCAAGCAATAAAGCTGCCTCCCTTTGGCTCTCCGGGCAGCAGGAGCTGTTTTCCAATAAAACAATCGATTAATATAAAAAGGAGAAACCTTGATAAAATGCAAATCAAAAGAACAGCCCAAAAAAAATTATAACCTATGTTAGAAGTAAAACACGTTAAAGAAACACGAAACCAAATTAAACATACTTAAGCAAGCCAATGACAGGTTGCAGAGCTCCAGCAGCAATAACTTCTTTTTTTATGTTTGGCGATGAATGCACCAGATTGCCAATCACACCAACCTACAAGCCAATTGGAAATTTTTTTATGGAACAACTGATAAAAAATAAATTAAAACCCAATGGAATTAGCCTAAAAAGCATCCAAGTTATGTTACTCCTACTCCTTATTTGTCTTGAAGCACCCGTGCCCTACACATATCGGACATGGATATGATGAGGATATAAGCCTTGAAGGACTCCCAAAATGCATGGAAATCTTGAAAAGATTTAGCATTGACGTATCCCCATGTCCAACACCACACACCCAAAGCTAAGTAACATAAACAACAAGAATCCTACCGCTTCATAGTGTATAGCAGCATCCTCTGATCTTAGCATTAAGATGAGAGTAGGTAGAGCATTGCATTCAACAATCTGCAAAGCCATAGTATTCACTCCATTAACCAGCACTTAAGGCAGTTTTATCCACACCACCTTCCAGAGGCAGATCTGTTACCTGATTCTTGTTTTCATCATTTTTGAAAGCTAGGGTTCGTAATGCTCCAGCAGCTGCTCTTTGCACCTTTGTATCAGTAAACTCAAGCAACTCAACAAGAGGTGGAATCCCACCTTCCATTCTATCAAACCAATCAAGATAATTAATAGAATAAACAAGGAGCTGCAAATAAATTCTGTTAAAACTGCACAATTTTAGCAAACCTGACACGGGTTTTAATGCTGCTATTCTCATGAGCAAGGTTGGTGACAGCATCAGCAGCTCTTCTGATGACGCTGATCACAGCACGAGAAATAGAACTATCCTTGTGCCGGCGCAACAAATTCATGAGATGTGACAAGGCCCCAGAATCAACTATAAGTTGCTGATGTTCTGGCTGTTATCAGCAAAGGCAATAAAGAATTTACCAGATCCAATGATTAACAAGAGTGAATAACTAACATATTTCCATTAATACCAGGAACATAAATCATGCAAACCCAGAAAAATACCAGATTCAAAATATAGCCAAGATTTAGTGGTTTAGCAATAAAATCATCTCTACCCTATATTAACAGATTAGTATAACTTGAATTTCTCCATGTTTAACTTGTGCTGCCATCAAGCATTATTCCTCAAATTATCTATATCACGAAACAAGTGAACTTCTAATATATAATTCAAATTTTAAAACGTAAACTACAGCTCATACTACGCAAAATTATATAAAATACAAGTATGGTAGTAACAACCATCTTTACTCTTTTTTTTGGTTATAAAAGGAGAAATATTCACTAAAATCACCTTCACAGCGAGAAGCCCCAGTGCAAAAGCACTTCCTTTTTCAACTTCGTGCTCTAAAGGCTTCGGACTTAGGTCACCATAGTCGCATGGCGGCGCTTGCAGATGCTTCACTAAAGCCGGAACCGCACCACCTTCAACGATCACATTAACAACTTCCTCTTCCAAAAATAAATAAAAAAACATAGATCATTACCGTTAATCATGAAATTTAGAAGGGAAAAAAATCAGTAAAAATACAACACGAAATAAAGGCGAGAAAATTCAAAATAGAATGAGATCGGAATTTGCAACTGAAGATTTTCAAAATTTTACCGTTCTTGGCGAGCTCAGCTAGTACGTGAGTTGCACGCTTGGCAGAGGTGCGATCTGATTCGCTCCAAGAGAAGGCGGATTCGAGTACGCTAACCTGAGCGGTTACTTCGGCCAAGAGTGCACAGCGTGAGTCGCCGTTGGGGACGGTGATTTCACGGCCCTCTTGGATCTCTTCCTCTAGTTTCCGTTTTTGCCCCTTTCGTTCTGGGAGGCCTTCTTCCTCCGGACGCTGAAGCTCCATATAGAAATAGTGAATAAGAAAGAAAATGAAGACTCTAAAAACGGTGAGAGAAGATTTTATCAGAAATAGGAAACGTGATTTGACAGAGAAAGCTAGAGACTAGATCAAGGGTATTTTGGGCATTTAACAAAAACAGAGCTTTTCCTTCATTTTCCCCCTTTATGAAAGATTAAACCGGCCCGCCATATTATTATTTCCTGGTTTCTTGTTCTAATTTTTTTATTATTATTTGATTAATCAATTTCAAAAGATAACCATCATATGACAAATTTGACCCTAATTTGAATGCCTTTGAAAATATTTTAAAGTTGACGATTTTAAAAGATTTGACTTTTATAGGACTAATTTGACCCTAACTTTGAGTATATATATATATATATATATAATCCACATAAACTATATAAAATTAATAAATTTTATATTAATTTATAAAAATTAGATTTAAATAAAAAATGACTTAAATTAAATTAGAATTTATAAACCATAAATAAATATCTTTTAACTCACAGTAAAATAATATCTCTTTTTAACTTAAATCTTAAACCTCTAAATCTCAAACCCTAAAACATATAATTTAATTCCAAAACTTTAAATCATAAACCTTAAACTACCAATCACAAATCATAAAACCTTAAATCTTAAAAATTAACTCTAAAAGGAAAAATATTAGTTTATTGTGAATTAAAGAAATATTTATATATGAGTTATAAATTTAATTAAATTTAAGTTATTTATTCATTTAAATTTAATAACAATAAATATAAGTTATATATATATATATTGATATTAATTATAAAATGAATTTTTATTCTTTTTAAATGTTTCGGGTTTGATAGGTGTAAATATGTATTATTAATATTTAATAGATTACTTTTTTGAGAGAGATTATCTTATAAACATATCATGTTATTAAAAAAGATAATATAAAATGCTATATATATATAGTATTCTTTATCTAGTAAAAAAACGAAACTAATTTAATAATTTAAATAATTTTGAATTTATCAAGGGACATCAATAATTAAAAAATGTTATTTTCTCTTGAGATCTTAAATGTTGGATTCAAATAAATGTGTCTGCAGAGCGTGTGATATTAATTATTTAAGAAAGATTATAAACAGATATTGCCCTTCTAATCATCCCACATTATTAAGAAAAATAATTAAAATGATTTTTAAAATTTAAAAATATAACTCTATATAAATGAATCTTAATTTATTTTGTTTATATGCTTAAATAATATTCTTGATCCGAATAAAACTATTTTCAAATGATAAAACAAATGAAAACATTTATAATTAAACGAAAATATATAAAACCTGGAATTATAAAATAATATTTCTCTTCATATATTTTTAAATTTCACCTATATGTGTTTTAATTTTAGTATTAGTCAACTTGGGTTAGGGTAAGAGGTTGAGGTAATTTTAATATCGGTTCGCTGAACGCTCGGTTCATTTATATGCCTACAAATAATCATTCTTAAATTAAAATATTAATTGACAAAAATATTTTACAATTAAATTTTAATACCCTCTTTTTATTAGTAAAATAATAAATTGAACTACACTGGACCAGTTTAATTAAATATTTATATTTGCACAAACCGAATCATGTCCGATCTACGGGAGAGGTCTGGTTTAAAGCCAGCAGCCACGTAATTTTCTAATCCTAATTTTTATTTTGGCTTAATATATTAATTAACCCCTAGACTTAATAAAATTTCTCAGAGTGGTCCTTATATTTTTTTCTTATACCATTTCAGTATCCGAATTATACATACAATCGTTTTCAAAGTGGTATTTATGACTAATACCGTTTATTTATGATAGGTTTAACCTAACAAATTGAAAAAGATTTCGAAACTTAAGTATTAAATGGTAATTAAAAAATGGTTAGGTAACACTTTGAAAATGATTGTTAAATTACAATATTAAACAACGTTAATTATAGACACCGCTTTGAGAACGATTGTCAAATTTAAATACCAAAGTGGCTGTTAAAATACAAGGGTCAATTAATATATTAAACATTTAATTTTTCATGCTGAAAGAAAATCTAATAAGATTATTAGATTTTAACTATTTACCATGATTTTATTGTGAAAAAATAGATACTAAATGTGGTTTCATCTTTTTTTTTTAATAATATATTGTTTAATAAATATATATATTTATTTTAGATATTTAAATATATATATATATATATATTGAATTAGTCTAAGATGATTATAAAATAATATATATTCAAAAAAAATTAACTTATTGACAACACATAAATATACATTTTATATATGCATATGCTCAAATTTGGATCCTTTAAAAAAAGACAATCTTCCTTTTTACCATTAAGAGTCTGCTTGTTTCACAGAAAACAAATTTCGAAAAATAATTCTTGTAAAATGAATAACATTTTTTGGAAAATAATTTCTAAAAATCGTTTAAGGTGTTTGGATGAAGTTGTGTAAATTATTTTTCTCTGAGTGATAATTTTTAAGAAATTATTTATTTTAAATATTGAATAAAATAAATAATATTATTTATTAGAAAGATTAATATTATTATTTTTAAAATATTAAAATAATTTATTTAATATTATTTATGTCTATATTATTATTAAAATGTTATTTTTATAATTTCATAAATAAAAAATTAAGAATATCATATTTTATTAAATTAAAAATATTAAAAATTATATTAATTATTTATTAAAATGAGATTATTAAATTATTAATTATTAAAATAAGAATATTATTATAATATAATCAAATTATATTAAATTAATATTAAATATATAATATTATATTATTAAAATTGTTAATAAATATATGTTAATAATTAATATTTTTATTAAAATGATATTAAAATAATATATTTAATACATAAAAAATTATTATTTTGAGCGTTTATGCTTTAAAGTGAAAAGTTCAAAAAATGACTTACGAAAAATTATATGGTAAGTCATTTTTCAAAAAATACAAAAGAAAATATGTTGACCAGTAAAATAAATTAAGTTAACTATCTGTTTTTCGTCAACCAAACACTGAAAAATGAGAAAAATATTTTTTTGAAAAACCAATTACATGGAAATAAACAAACCATAAGATTAGTATTAAGCACGAATAAAACAATCTTAATGATATATGAATTATTGTTATTCCTTAAAGTCTTAGGTTCGAGCACAAATGCACCATGTATGTTAGGGACATAAACGTTTAATGTCAAAATGTTAAAAATTATCTTTGAACAAATACTACCTTATTCTTGCATTAGATTAATAAAAAAAACTAAATCAAACATTAAATTCATAATAAAATTATTTTTAAAATAAAGTAAATATGTTTATTGATTCAAATGAAAGTTTTAAGAGATGGATAATAATTTTATTTTTTTTTATAAAATTAAAATATATAAATACCTTCAAATCATATTATTAATTTAATTTAATAAAATTTAATTTTAACTTTATAAATACATAAATACATACATAGTGTTTAATCGATTATTTCGTTCACTGATCAAACTAAATTAGTCAAAATTGAATTAATCAAAATCTTATTAATTGTTAATTAATATTATTTTTTAAAATATTAGTTGAAACAAATAAAATTTAGCTAATCTGATCTATATTTGAAATCAAAATTTATTGCAAGTTCTTTTTATTAGATTATTTTGAGTTTAATAGAAATATTATTTTTTTTTTGAGTTAAAATTTGATTGGATCCTAAAAGTTTAATAAGTCTAATTTAATTAAAAAATAGTTGAGTCTTGATTCTTAATGAATTTGAACTTAAAATATATCTTTTTTGTAATGCCTCGGATCCCGGGTTAGGAGTTTTGGGCTAACCCGAGATGGGCCTTGAATTAATTCTTTAGCTTGTAGGAAGACTTGCCCCAAAAACAAGTGGAATTGGGCTTGGATTGAGCCCAATAATGGATAAAAAGGGTGTTTTTAGTTCGCAACTAAAACCAGGGGACCAAGAGTGTATTTAGAACATGGTTCAAAAATTAAAGTTGATATCCATTAAAATAGATGATCTCATGTTTTGAACCCATTCCCTCTTTTTCTTACCAACTCTTGCCTCATTGTCTTCTTTTCATCTTCTTCCTCAAGCCAATCTAAGAGAGATAACTTTATAGATTTCCAAGTGTTGCAAGGAGAAGTTAAGGTAAGAATCAACATCCTCTCACCTCTCACTTCATTTCAAGCTCCCAAACACAAGGTTTGGCCATGGTTTTAGAAATTAGGTTTGTGAGGGTTTAAGAAACCTTTGAGATTTAATCTGATTTCCAGGAAGTTTAGACCTTTAGAAGTGTTTTTAAACTTTTCTTAACCCTAAAATTTCAGTTAGTAACCATTACTTTGATTCTTGTCTAGTGAGAGAAGTTGGAGAGAGCTCCAAAGCTAGGGAAGGAAATCTTACCTTGGGTTGAGCCATTGACACTTCCAGTAACCTAGATACTCAAGTAACTCATTTCTAACTCAATTATACCATGTGTAGCTCATTTAGATGAGATTTGGTAGGTTGCATAAGCTTGAAGCATTTTCATGGTATATTCATAATTTGGGTGTTTTAGCATGTATTAAGACCTATTATGGAAAAAAATTAGACAACTTTAAAGGGGTAGTATTGATACTCATTCATAAGAGTATCGATACTTGGACAGGAGCATTGATACTCCTATAGGGGTATCGATACTAGGTATTTTCAAAACATCGAATTGAAATTTGGTATCGATACTTAGTCAAGTATCGATACCCCATCACCAGTATCGATATTCATCCTAGGGTATTGATACTGCCTTAATCAAGTATCGATACCCACAAACATATTTGGATAAATAACCCAAGGATTAAGGGATCAGATTCGAGGTACCCCATATACTTAGGATAACAACAAATAAGACTTCAAGTAAGAACAATAATTAAAATCCGAACAATAAAACAATAACAATTAGGATTACATAAATTAGCCTTGTTTGATACTTGGGAAACAATCATGATTCCCGAGTTCCTCTTT